GCCGGGGGACAGCGCCCTGCCCTTCCCAGCCCTGAGGCCGGGGAGCTCTGGGGACACCGCGCCGCCCCGCCCGGGTGCAGCTCCTCCCCGCTTCATTGCAACGTCGTTTTCCTCCCCTCTGGTTACTACAACTCAGTGCCCAGAAATCTCCATAATAATGTTATAATAATTACTTAATCTATAGTAGTAATACAGTAACTGGCCCAGAAGGAGTTGTTAAAGACGCCTTTTAAGCTCAACCAAAAAAAAAGTATTTCTGATAACTTGATTCACGTGGTTTAAAATGCAGTCAAACACTGGAGCCTCAAATACAGCACCCCGTGCACTCCTACCAGACACTTCCAAGTCCCAGCACAGCCAATGGGATGGACAGCCGATGCCGTTTATCAGCCAGGCCATCTCCCTACAGATTCCACCACTTTGCCTCCTGGCTTCATTTCCCATCACGTGACACCCAACAAATAAACCTGCCAATCTCCTCTACCAAATCACCCTAAAACGAACCCCTTGGGTAACAAAGGTCATGAAAAAATAGGTGTTTTTTCCAGCCACAGAAGTCCCAGAGAATGCCAGGTGTGCATCCGTGTTTAGTTCCTCTCTGCTTCCCCAGACTCTCTGGGAACGTACTCGATTCCCTGGACATGCACAAAGTGCCAGGGTTCACCTCTCGGAGCTGAGGGCACCGGGATGCTCAGAGGCTGCAGCACAGCCCCTTCCCTGCCTCCTCCCCAAAGCCTGCCCCTCCTTACCTGGAGGGCAAATCCTCATGTGCTGCCCATGGCACAGTCCTACGGAGAGCAGCACCTCTGAATGGGAGCCTGAAAGCTTCAGAAATGAGGAGCTAAAACCCCTAAGGGTGGTGAATAGAAAAGAGATATTTGTACTTAACCACGTTTCCTTTGTTTGCTGGTCTCCTGTCCCTGGTCCCGGATGTCCATGGGGGGAGGCCTCAGCAGCAACTTCAGACACAGCTGCAGCTCCAGTGGATGTGCAGATGTTCCCACCGCTGAAGGCAGGGCTGTGGTCAAGAACAGGGCTTGGAGTGCCTTTTCTGCTGTCTCCTGTAACAAGACACCTATATCTCCAAAAGACAATTATTTCCCTACCTTTTTCTTTGTAAGGCCTCCATAGAAGCATTTCTGCTGAAATATCACATCCCTATATATTTCTCATATTTCCAATCGTCTGAAAGCTTATGAACAGTTTTTGTTTTCAGGACAAGCAGTGGTGAGCCTCAGGAACATAACTTTTGAGATTTGCATTTTGGAGAAACCAACTGAAAAATAGTTTCAGAAAACTGAAAGTGGCCAACATAACCTATGAAAATGGGACTGGGTGGCATTTATAGAGATACGGCTACATCAAGCCAAGTGCAAACACACTCAGTGCTCAATAATTTACAATCACAGTAACATCCCATTAGAAATGCTCATTTTTGAAGATGAAATGCACTGTGTAGCAAATACTAACTGAAGGATTCAAGTTTTAGAACAGATGATGTAAATGAAGGTTATTAAAAACACAACCCCCCTCTTTTCTCAGTTCATACCCTACAGAAGGAGATGCAAATCAATTCTTAATAAGTGACTCAAAACTTCCCAGCCACTATCTGTGGCTTGCTTTAGAAATATATGAAGTTTCCTTTTCTTTAAAAAAATTTAAAGACTTCAAGCTTTTGATAAATCCCTCCCCCTGTAATGCCAAAGCTGCAGTTTCCTTTCCAAACTCAACCTAAATATAACCCATTCTGCAGTGCTTTCTGGAGTCTACAAACACAGGTATTTAGTGAGAGCAAGTGGCAGACTGAAATTCTGATGCCCTGTTGTACAGAGTTTAACGAATTGCCAATCACTGGAACAGTTTAAGTGGGACAAAATC